TTGTGTTTAAATTGGGCCGGTGGCACTAATTTAATTCCGGCTATCAAATTTCCAAAGACTTTTGTAACACACTGTATATTTTTTTTCTGATGTATTTCTATCGATGATATACATATATATTTCTTGGCAAAAGTGATCGGCGTTACAAATTGTAACGCACGTGCAAAAAAAATGGATAACATAAAATAGGTAACGAACAATTTATTTTCGAACTTTTCTACCTTTTCAGATATATATATACGAACTGTGTTTAAATATCATTATAAAACTGATTTTTATTGCAATAGCATTATATATCGAGTCACTTATTTCTAAAACTCTAATTTTACAAATAAAATATCAGATGTTTTTATTTATAACTTCCCATTCTGCAATTGAATTCGGAACCCAGATCCAATCTCTAACCGTTGGTACTCCTTCAGTAATATCGGAAAGCATCAACTTCTTTAGCCTTTTTTTTTGGTCGTCAAGCCTATTCTAAAAATCAAATGTAGACGTCATACTAAAACCTTCACAATATCTAATTGGAATATGTAAAAATACTTACAATCAGAGCATAAAGTAATTCGAAGACCTCCAAGAACTTTTCTATCTCGTCAATTGAAAATGGCAATATAGCCGACTTAATTTGCGAAATCATATAAGAGTGCTTCTTATTGAGACAAAGTTCACTTAGAGTTATTCGATCACCTAAAATAAATCAGTATAAATTTAGGCTTTTCAAAAAGAATCGATACAGTTGTGAATACATTACCAATGACTTGTATCATATATGTGCATATATTCATTGAATTCTCCACATTTTTGTCTAAATAATCTCTCAAAAGAGATACAAGCCCAAACATTGCTTCCTTGATTAGCTTCTCAGTATCTTCTCTTGCATGCTTTGTTACTGCACAAGTAACCTCTGGACCTCCCGCTACTTCTATAAAAACAACTTCTTTATCACTTGAAACTTTCGTGCAGACACCATCTGCTTTATTGATCGTCATATCAAATTGAGGAAATAATTGTTTCATATCTTTGATACAATTAAGTTGCACCTCGATCCAGTCAAATGCGAATTCTTTATAAACAGACTGCATTGCCTTGAATAATGGTACGATCCTTTCCACTGTGTACTTTCGTTCCCCAATATAGCGGTTTAATGGATTTTCGCTAGCCATGGAAAAACTGAGTTGTAGCAGTCTGAATTAGTTTATTTCGTTAATGTGTTATATAAAATCCTGAATGATATACCTACAAGTCATAGAGAATTATTTCACAGATTTTTCGGAATTTATGGTCAGGAGTCAATGAAGTCATGATAGAACTTTCGAATACATCCTTTTCGGACTAAATGAGAAATATTTTTAATATATGTATATGTACATTATATCCAGAAATAATATATAACTTACTGATAGTGCGTTTATAATCCAATCATGAACTAATTCTGGAATCGGATCAACTTTTTTTTCTTTCATTATAACATACTGCTGGTTAATATTTACTGAAAAGTGATTGTCCAGATATTCTACAGAATTTGCGAAAAGGGACGGTTTTTGTGGAGTGGTCATCACAATTTTATTTCGTGGTCCGGTAGGAGGTGTTTTATACTGACGAAAAATAACATTGATTAGGTATAATTTTCAAAAATTACATAAAAAATAAATCTGACATCAACTTACACCATCACTGATAAATTCCTCAATTTCGTTGGATTCTTTAATTTCATCGGATTCCTCAATTGATTCATCAATCGCAATTATACTTTTTCTGATGGTCTCATTATTGATATTTGTAACTTGCTTCTTAATCTGAATTAATTATTAATTTTTCAAAGAAATCAAAAGGTGTTTTATCACTTACACTAAAAAATAAAATTAATCTATGAAATAAACCTTATTGTTTTCCGAATATTCTAAATCTGTATAAGATTCTAATGTTGAGTCTGAAGAATCAAATTCAGCATGCTTTCTTTTTCGAAGAATTCTCACATTTGATTGATTTCCTTCCTAAGGAATTTATAAAAATATTTAATTAATGGGTGTAAGTAATTGCAAGAACCAAAACGACAACACGTATAATGTTCTCACCATATTTTCCACAACAGTTGTATACGGAGTAGGGAATGTTAATAATCCAATTTTTTGAAGTGTGTTTATAGTAATAATGATAAAAAATGTTCTTACCAACTTCGTTATTTTGTTGTACTCTAACAACGTCAGCAGTACCTATTGAGACATGTTTTGTTCGAACTTGTTGTAGTAGCGTGTAATCATGTTCTGCGGTAGCATGAAGTTTCTCACGCTCTAATATTAAGTCCCAGAACGATGCAATTTCCTTGGACTAACAGAATGTTTTATCAATATGTTGAATCTTTTCATATTTTAGGCAGATTAGGGAATCATAACCTTACTGATAATTCCTTTTTTAATTTTTTTGCATGTTCCCGAGCGAATTGTGGAAGATCCTGGTTCTTAATCAGTACCCTCAGATATGCCACGTATTCTCTGTGGATCAATTGCCGTTCAGAACTTGTCAGGTTCTGTTCCAAATCAAGCTGACGCAGAAAGTTAATAATCTTGCATGTTGCGAAAGGGATTGAAGAAAAGTAGTTGCTCATCCCCTTAGGTAAAAAAGGAAGCACGAACTAGATTACGGAAACGTAGAGATTAATATCTTCCAACAATCAAAATTAAACACAACAATAACAAATATTCACTGTCTTTGGTTCCATAGTTCTCTTGCTCGTAAGATTTTACGTGACGCGTTTTAACATTTTTATTTATGTGAACATGTGACCTCTTCAGTCAAAAATGGTTTGATCGCCGCCCGAAAAATATCTCTTCTTTGGGAGCATGAATTGGTGATTAACAACACCCATGAGCTACCGTTCCTTTTGGAGGCCCTCATGTGTGCAACCCTTCTCTCCTTGGAGAAGCTGGTTGGTTAATGCCTCTTTTTGGGAGTGTGGAATTGGTGATTTACAACACCCATGAGCTACCGTTCCTTTTGGAGGCCCTCATGTGTGCAACCCTTTTCCCTTTGGAGAAGCCGGTTGGTAAATGCCAATGCCCCAATCCACAACTCTAACTTCCCTACACGACCATCAATACTATAGAATATGGAAGCTCACAGTTGAATCCGAAAAACGTATGAAGGTAATGTTCTCTGGTTCAAAAAGTAATAATCCTTGTAAGGATGTTCCAAACATAGAAGTTATCAATTTTATTAACAATGATATTATTGTGCTATGTAATTAATATTTCTGGCCAGCTAAAATAACAAGAATAGGGTGGGAACAAGCGGAAGAAATAAAGCATTTTTTGGTTATGCTTGCCAGGATTTTAGGCCTTTTTATATTGAAGGAGAGATATTAGATTTGATCAGATCCTGCAGTCGGAAGTAAATTGAAAGTTCCAAACTCGCAGTTAAGGTTTGAATATTTCATTTGTGACAGCGCAATTCAATGAAGCAACTTCTGGGCTTGCAACTAATGACTATTCTTTCGTACAGATTGCCAAGAAATTTATTAGCATCGCAAAAGGCAATCAACATAAACTTTCAATCTTCTTCTCTAGAGTTCGAAAAAGATAGATAATAGGCAACCAACTGGGGGATTACATGCTCCGTACAATTAATAACCATTCTTATTCTATCATAATATTGATAGGATCATAATTAATGTTGTAGTTTAGATGATTTAGATATATGGAAAATTTATAGTGTAGACACTAGTATTGTAACAATGGATAGATTTGATTTTTTTCAATTTTTATTACGATTAATTTTTGCAATAAATAAAATAAATAAAGCAAAGAATGTTGATGTAATTTTTACAAATATTTTTTTTCGTGTGATTAACCATTTGAATATATCCAATTTTGTAATAAAACAATGTCGAATGATCAATTAACAATCAATACCTTGAGAGAATTAAACTCTAGGCTTGCATCCGAGATTACTGAACTTAGAAAGGAGAA